ATTACCCTAACTTTTAAATAAAATGATGGCGTATTTGTTCCCTATCCCTCCCATTATTCGTGTAGTAATAATAAACAAATCCCTTCATGTTGTAAAGTGTTTACTAAGTGTGGTACTAGGAGGACACCTTGTTTCCATATCAAATGCTTCCACTGAGTCACTCGAACAATATTCATTGTATTTGTTTACCCCTTCTCAATTGGAACACTATCGACAATTATCAGAGACAAAATTAAATACGGGAACGAACCTCAAAATTAAAAGTTACTTTTAAATCACCAAAAGTATTCAGACACATAATCACAAATTATATCCCAATATTTTATTACCTAGATCTTCAAAAACTCCTTAAATAGCCAAACCGAATGAATGAGTGTTGAACAGTTACCACCTTTTAGAAAATCCCAAAGTTGTATGTCTTCCAGACTTTCATTATAGGGGAGAAACTTCATAGGTAATGGATGAAAATTAAGAGAAAAGGTTAAAATTTGAGGGGAAGGGTCGATATCAGAATTGACACAGTGACAGATTTCTTATTACGAAAAAAGTGCTCATGTCGACACATGCACACCTGGTGCCATATTTCTTTTCCTCTCGTCTCCCCTTGTCTTCCTCCAAAACCCTGAAACGCCTGACCGCCTGTTCACAGTAATCAGACTGACGACTGACCACCGCACTGCAACACATCGCATGCAAGGAACGAAGTAACCAACATGATTCCACCGACACGACTAGTAGGACACAATTACGCGTGTAAAGGAGGAGCATTTGGGTATGGGGCGTCAATGTTCCACCTCCCTGCATTGTTCTCCACAAACACCCAAGCATCCAAAACCAAAAATTCGTGCATTCTCACTTACTAAGTAAAACTCACTGACGCATGCACTGTTGATGAACCCTGGACTGATGATTTGCTTCTCGGGCTCATTTAAGGTGAATGAGGCCAAATGTCCCTTCACTTTCTCCATTATTTAACAGTCACAAAAATTTCCATGACGGTTTTTTATTTTTCCGATTTATGTAGGCTCTGTTCTCATCCCACATCTCGATTATGTACTGCGTTCTCTCTAAATGCCAGTTAGCTGATATATTACCAAAAGAACCTTATAATATGTCTCAAAATAAATTTGACAAGCTATCAAATACCAAAAATCAAAGCCGATGAACAAAAAATATGCCTCACTTTTTAAAGGAAAGAAAACGTAAAAGTGATTTCCTTAAAAGAGAGAATAAACCTTTAATCATTGGCTCACCAGTATTGTATCCTTCGGCACCTTTGATCGTCTGTGGATTGCCCAACACTCCGTTCACGATCATTCGTGTACTGAAGGTCCTAAGATGTCGGAAGTATACGTACACCAAAATGGCCAGGAGAATGACAACGGCAAAGACGGCAGCTACGATGATTGCCAGAGTCTTATTGGGAATGCCACCAGTCTCTCCGCTCCAATCGCCTAACCATTCACCACCGGGGTAGGCACCACCTCCGTCTGCTCCCTTAGGGATCCCCTCAGTTCCATACCGATTATGGATGAGGAAAGAGTCTGTGTAGGTTCCTGACAGTGCCTTGGTTCCGCGCAATATCCTCACGGTGACGGTAGAATTAAGACTACTTGGTGTACCCAAATCGTAAGCCTTAACTTGAAAAGTGTAGAGGTTTGCGCCATCAGTGCCTAGTGGAGGAAGATTTTGTTTGAGGTAGCAGACTCCCGCAGTCTGATCAACTGCAAAAGGAAAGTTTTTTAATAGTCTTGCCGAGTTCAAGTCGGATGAATTGTCGGTCACACTTTCAGGGAGTACTAATTCATACTCAATTGTGGCATTCTCTCCCTGATCACTGTCACTTCCTTCAATGGTGAAGATGGTTGTACCGGCGACCATTTGATCTGGACTGAGTATAAATTCAGCAAGATTTCTAGGGGATAGTATCTGCGGTGGATTGTCGTTTTGATCCAGAACCATCACCAATACTGTAGCGGTGGCTGTAAATCGAACGGCTGAGTGACTTACTGGTGCTTCACCACTTATTGGGACGTTGTCCACAGCGAGTACAAGGAATTCATAGTGAACCCTTTTTTCCCTGTCTAGGTGACCTCTCAGTCGGATTATTCCCAGACGCGGATCTATTTGAAATAAGCTTGCTATCAGTGCATTGGCACTTTGTCTACTCACAAGGTGTGTACCACCAGCATTCTGAATATCATCTGCAGCTAAGCTATATCTCACTCGGCCAAAATCACCCATATCTGCATCAGTTGCTTTGACTCTTCCCACCTCGGCCAGTTCAGCATTTTCTTCCACCTCAAAGTTGTAATTGGCTGACTCAAACTCTGGCTGACAGTCGTTCATATCAGTCACAATTATCCTCACCTCGGCAGTGCTAGATAATCGTCCGTAGACCGTTCGATTGCTCTCCGCTTGATCTGTGGCTATTACTGTGAATACAAATTGTTTGGTCTTCTCCCGATCGAAGGGGGTAATGAGGTAAAGGCTTCCATTTTCTGCGTCAATTTCTACAATTCCCTTTGTATTTGATGAGAGAGAGTATTCTATTTTAGCATTTTGTAAGGTATCACGATCAGTGGCGAGAACCTTGCCAATAAAGTGTCCACTTTTCCCTAGGGAGAACTGCCGACTTCCATTTGAGGGAAGGTTTTCCGCCACTCTAAAGGTATACGAACTGGAGGAGAATTGAGGAGGATTGTCGTTGACATCCTCAATGTTGATACAAACGTCCACACGCGAAGTCAATCTCTTTGTATTAACATCGACATCCTGACTGTCTATGCAGGTAATCTGAACCCCAATAGTGCTACCGCTGGCACCCTCTCTGTCTACAGGGTTGTTGGACATCAATTTGTACATCAGCATAGCCTGGTTGGCCCTCATGCCTGGGTTACTTGTCCCCAAACTTGGCCAGCCTGCACTGCCCATTGTGGAAATAGGCTCCAAGGAGAAGAGGGAGTCGTTCACAGTGCAAGCAACTTCCGTACTGATGGACGCTGCATCGTTGTCAACAACCGTGACCTGTGCTATCATCGAACGACCTTGACCCTCGAGCAGAGTCCCACATGAACTTTTTCTGCCTTGCTGTTGTTGTTTTTGTGAAATCGTGGAAATATAGTCAACAAAGATCTCTGGAGCTTCATCGTTCACGTCAACAATTTCAACATAGACGGGAACTTGAGATGACAGTGACGGCTTTCCAAAATCGTAGGACTCCACAATAAACCGTAGAAGATAAGAGCGAACGTTTAGAGGACGATATCTGAGTCTTGGTTGAGATGTGTCTAGTGCAGAAATCTGTAACTTTTTAGCTGCCTCAAGTGCACGTTTAGCGGCCTGTCGAAGTTGATTTTCCGACTTTCTTTGAACTATCAGCTGACCTGTAGTGGCGTTCCTTCGATGGATGCTTGAAGAATCTGGACTGTAGTCATATGGTTTAACGAGTTCAATCTCGAAGAAATTAGCTGCTGCTGTTTGAGCCTCTGGATAAGGTAGATTTGTCGACTGGTCGTCTTTGCCGGGAATTCGAAAATTTATTCTATGATTTTCGTACTTTCCATCTTCATCAATAGCTTGAAATTGAAGAACCACATGACCTGGAAGATCATCTTCTGACACAACTCCATTGTATTGCGTTTGAGTGAAGGTAGGAACGTGATCATTGACATCTTCAATAATTAAACGTATTGGTAGTCTACCTGATCTCGGTGGCATTCCACCATCTACTGCCACCAGTACAAACCTGTACTCCTTTCGCTGTTCATAGTCCAAACCCGAGGGTGTCTCTCCTGACGTTCCAGAGGGAATAAGCCACAATCGTTTATCTGAAGTTAAAACAAGCTGTCGAGGATCGGCTTCAACAGCTATTCCGCCATCATCTCCTCGACCAATTTCCAAGTAGAATAGGTAGGCATCCTCTCCCTCTAATCGATAATGACGGACGCCATTTTCTGGTGCGTCCAGGTCAACAGCTTCAGGCAGGGGAATACGAACCTTAGTAGGGCTTGATTTGCTCCCATAGGGCGATACTGATTGGAGGTGCGCACTAGGAGTTTCCAACACCCGAATTACATGCTGTGTTTCGTCATCCGCAAATTTTGGTGAGTGGTCATTTAGGTCATCGAGAACGATGGTGAGGCTATCAAAGGAGGGGTCACTAGGGGAGCCAAAGACAATGGTTAGTTGGATCACACAAGGTTGACTGAAGCTGTTAGGGTGGGAATTAGAGGTCTCGCCTCCCAAGTAAATGTCGCGCCGATCACCGATTCTCCCCACAGTGGCGAGATCAAGACTGCTACGAGGGTTCGTGGGGCATAGAGCGTCTCGGTCAGGTGGTGATGCAACCACCAGACTGCCGCGCATTTGATCAATTTTGAAGGAGGAAGCACCGGGTAGAGCCGCATTGCTGATCGCCAGCAGACTGCTACCACCATTACTGCTCCCCTCGTTGTTACTAAGTACTCCAAGGAGTTGGCGTAAATCGTTGACGACAACTGTTCCTTCTGGCGACTTCTCCACGATATGAAATGTCTTCGAGACCTGACTTAGGTGAGAGGTCACGACGGGAATGCACCAGCAGCAGTAGAGGAGGCATAATAGTGAAAAAATAGGCGACATTGTCTTTTTGGTGTTAACTCTAAAGCATTGGAAAAGACTGGAAATGAAGTTGATTTGTCAGGAATAACTGAAACAAGTAGATGGGAAAGTAAGGTACGGAATGTTTGTGCCCCGCAAAGTATTTTATCGAGACAAATAATTATATCCCCACAAGAGAAGGAGATAAGACCTGTTGAGCACGAAAATAAATGATGAATGATAAATGATCGCACCCGCGACATCATTCCTCTTGGGAGGGGAAACAAAAGTAAAACTGACGCCGTTAGCATTTGAAAAGGCATGAAAAGAAGAAGATAAAGAAGATAAGAGAAATACTAATGAATATTAATTTGGAAGCCGAAAACAGACTGCATGGTTTCGTTACTCATAAGGCCCTAAAAAAGATTATTGCAATGGGGAAAACAACTGCCTATGCAAATGACCAATTATTCATGAGGAGGAATTTATGAATCATGGAGAATACCGCCTCACTCTTCTGCCTTTGAAGCAGACGTAGAAGACTCAAAGCACTCGCAACTTATAGTTTTAGCCTGCCAATGGCCTACTGACAGCTTCGGCTGGAACTGATACCCTTTGGCAAATTCACGTCTTTTTATGCCTGTAGGGGTCTTTGCTGGTCCATTCTAGCAAATAAAAGTTAAGTTCTCTCCTACTTGACAAGTAATTTGGTCCATAGATTTATAAAACACGAAACATGAAGCAATTGTGAAAGAGTTGCGCACATAACCGTGGTCTTTTTATTTGTTTCTCTCAAAAATATAAATATACATGTGCTTACTCCACATTTAATGGTCAAGGGCGGGCGCTAATAAACTCGTGGGTGTGTAGATTTGCAAATATTTTTCGTTTGGTTTTACCCATTTATGAGTAGTTAAAAGTGAATATGTGACCCACGTCAAAAAGACGTTTATATTTATGTGCCACGTAAAGCAGAAGCTTTGCGTTTTACGATTTCTCGAACTCACCTCTCTACCATAGATAAGGCCTAATTTTTTTTCTTTCAACCTCTAAAGTTGAACTATGAGAAGGTCGAGGTTACTAGTCAGAAAACTCTGTCCACTTACGGGAAGATTAACGTCCTTAGATTGTGTTGGAGTGAAGGCTTTGTTGGTAGATCCTCAATTAGTAGTGTCATGTGTGGTGGAGGGGGAGACCTACAGGAGTCGGAGGGGGTTTATAGGTTCGGTAACTTTTCAAATGCAATGCATATCTTCATTATCGCTCCTAGGGTCTACAGCAGCACGACAAGGGCGTGCATTCCAGAAGTAGTGACTCGTTCGGCCAATCAGGCGCCGCCGGGTCTCGACCAATCTCGCCTAGCCTCATCCCCACGTGTTCGTTCCAAGGAAGAGGGTTTGTTCAACTCAACCCTTCCATTTGATCCAAATTAATCAAAATCAATCTAACACAGATTTGACCTAATTTATAGTATAAGATTTTTTTCGGCTAAAGCAGGGAGCCTCACCTCGTCAAATATGAAGAAGTTTGATTGGTTTACCACTTTTGATGCTTTATCCTTTGATTCGCCATAGAAAGCATTCTTTAAAGGAGGATAATTTAGGAACTTGTTTGGTACCATAAGACTTAGATGCAGACTTAAAATAATGAGCAATTTCCCATACTACTATTTAACTCTGGCGATCATAGCTATAATCACCTTTGAAGCATAGGAACCAGGAAGTATTGTTGTTATTGCAATCAGAAGGGCTGAAAGACCATGTACTTTGGATGCCCATATTCATTACTTTGTTTGAATAAGCAATTTAAAACTATTTGGTAATTCCTTTACATTTATATGTTACCCGTAGCCTGATTGGCTATTTATTTGTTGAAACGTTGGTGATGACAAAAGAAGACACAACACTCGAGCAGAATATGTATGCTTGATGGCAAAAGGGCTTGGAGCTGCTGGTATGACCCGAAGGTCAGCTCACCCAGAAAAGCTACAACTGCGGAGAGTTAAACACAAATTTAAAGTATTACATAGCCCCTCTCTGCTCTTTTAAACGTCATCCTCGACCCTCCTCTTCCTCAACCTTCCGCGTCAGACATTATAAGGTAGTCGGTGCTGTAAGGAAATATTCACGAGTCAACCATACCAATCACTGAACTTTCATGGAACTGAGGTGATACTTGATAGCAGTCACTAATTCCACTTGGCTATCCTACCAGACCTGGAGTTTTGGGACAGGGGAATGTGCTGGCCATCACGCGTGTCCAGAGCTAGTCGTAGAAACACTAACTTCAAAGTAGAGCCAAACAATGAAGGACGGGATTTAACGTGGTTTTGTGAAGGTATGGAATCACGCCTGTTCTGCTTTGCCCCTTTGTTCTCACCTCAGTGCTGTCCATCCATATCTATCTGGAGGAGATATTGCATATTCATCTACTTGACACCTTCATACAGGTACCCTAGACAACTCGGTAAAAAACGTTTGAAGATGCTTCACGGCCAGTGTTATTTTAGCAATTAATAGCATTCTTGCAGAGCACGGGACAGGGGCATTCGTAGGAGGTAGACGTCATCCTCACCTCCTTTGTTAGGTGTAGTGGCAGGTTATCCCATCCGCGGCATATGCCCCACCTACGTTGCGTTAAGCTTTAGCATTCAGGAATAGGAACCAGGGTAGATAGTCTTTAGGGTTGTGTTAGCTTCCCGCTGTCACCAGTGTATCGCTTTAAGACTTTTCTGAAAAGGAAAGAAATTTTTAGACCAAAATTGTGCAGAATACTTCCAGTCAGTCAGTGAAACAGGCGTTGGCGAGTGCTGATTTGGCCTGCGTCCACTGAACCTTACAACATAGGCCATGTTTGCCGTCACAAAGCAGTGCCCATAGTCAAGTTGTCAAATTACATCTCCAAGTGGCAATTTTGATTTTGTTTTTAATGCCGAACGCCATGTTTTGTATAGTTAATCATTTATAAACAATGTTATTCTTCTCACCTCTAAATGCCCTATTTCACAGCCTAAAAGTAACTGAGCACAAATACAATTGAAAGTTTAAGGTGGACTTGTTGTTACCATGATTTAATCTTTTCAAGTGACACCTTGTACACTTCTCTCTGGAGCTTTCTTGCAGTCCATTCCCCTCTGCTCAATCGAAGAGGAAGAAAGAGAACATTGTGGGATCTTGGGTAAAGCCACCACATGGCCTGCCACGGCAGCCACTTGTGTCTATTTATTTCCTCCTGGTAATTCCTATCTGATTTGCAGTGATCGTGGTCCAAACGACAACAAACGCCTCTCCCTCTCTCACCGTGCGTGTATGTCATTACTGCGCGCCATTCAGTGGGAAGTGGTTGACTCTCTGTCTATCTCCAAAGTGTGTTTGTGTGTGCTTGGAGGGTATTTTTAGATTTGATTGTGGTTTTTTTGTGTGTACGTTAATTCTGCCAACAGATGCTCCGCTAATCGGGTGGTTCTCAACTCTGACCCAAACATCATAAAGATTAGAAACAGCCCAGGAGTGGTAAAGGGAACTCTTGAGTCCATTTGACTTTAATGCCTGATGATACTTTCACAAATGTCCGTCTGTTTATTTTTTGCCTTCCGGTTGTACAATCTCTGAACCCTTGTTAATGTATTGTGCTGCACGTTTATTCCTAATTGAGGATTCATTACACAATGAAGGAACATTTGTATTCGGTGAAACACTTTTTTGGATCTCCCACTTACAAATTACATTAACGACAGTCCTTTATGCCAACGCAAAAGATTGGTCGTTTGATCTGGCCACGTACCATCACCGCCACCATCGCCACCGCCACCACTTGTGATCGTCCCCTTCTACCCATAATTCAATTGCCAAAAGGCGACATTTGGCGAACGAACCAGAGTGTTGGTGTTGATGTTGGTGCGCACTTTCAGTGGTGGCGCAAATTGGTCAAATTCAGCCAGCCAAAGTGTCCACTTGTGCTGCAGTTTCTGGACCCCATCTATATGGTGGTGCACATCCAACTCACCTGGATATTACCACTAACACTGAAACATTATACAAATCTTTTTATTTACTAAGTTGTACTATCATTGACACGATGTAAAAACGAGATTTTTAAGCCGAAATGTACCCCTGTCCCTTTTTTTACGATTTCTGTTAAGCATACCCTTTACCCCGAGGTTTGCTATCATCATCCCTAAATAATCTGGTTTGTGAAGGAAGGACTCAGTATACCGTAAATATACACAAGATGCAGGTATTGAAGTGCAATTGATTCATTTACAACGTTTACAAGTCAAACCATCACCTCGAGGTTTCTCCACTCCATTTTGAACCAAATAAGACATTTGCAAATCATTATAGCTCAGTTTGTAGAGCTCCAAGACTTTTCTAAAGGCATAAGAAGACAAAACCATGGCTGAATATGTGTTGCCGACATACAGAAGGGCTTGAGGGCTACTGCCATGGCTCAAAGGCCAGTCCTCTCAGCGGAGGTACAATGGTGGAGCCCTTAAGTGGAAGGTTGCCAAAAACTGGAAGTTGAACAAATAATATATTGCACCGTTTTCAAACTTTGTTATTTTCTCCAATTTTGAGTACTTTGAATGATGACGGGCTTTAGAGGCGAGAAAAATAGCACTTTTTATGAAGTATTGTTAAAAGTCGTTCAATGGCTTGAATACTGGAGAAAATTTGGCCAAGTCCGATTCAAAGTGGGCACACGGACCCCTTCCACTTCAGCACATTCTACAGGCAGTACAATCCAACATTTGATCCTTTAACTATTTGAACTGCAGAATGCAGCTGTGAATCAGAGCTAAATTGGCATTCCTCAAATCAAGAATGTACATTAATTTGGGAGAGGGGGGGCGGAGACGACAGTTTGTTTGCTAGTGGGAACGGGAATGGAACTCTTAACAGCTTGTGAACATTGCGCTAGTGGTTTCAACAACAAAGCCGCTGCAGAGGACAGATGCCAAAATTGCGTGCTGAATGTGCGCATTTTCAAAATGTTATTTTTTTTGTTTGTCAGTCGGGAGATTAACATTAAGTGCAACAAATTCCATTTAGAAAATGGCGTTGTAGAGTTAAGTGAGAAGGGATTCGTTCCGCCTAAAAGTAAGTAATTGACTCACCCAGTGAAATTATATAATAGTGGGGAATTTAGGACTACTGAGCCTCGTTTCCGGCGCTTGTCTTGGTCAACCTTCCGCCTCGGCCATTATAACGTAATCGGTGCTGTATAAATATCCTCACAAGCCAAACGCGCCAACCGTCGAAGTTCTAAAAAATTGAGGAGATACTTGACTGCAGCGTCACTGATTGCTCTCAGCAATTCTTCTATATCTGGATTTTGTCCCATCTGAGAAATTGTAGTGGGAAAAGGGGATTGTGGTGGTCATTACGTATGCCCGTCACTGGCCGTAGGAACACTGGCCTATAGGCAGAGCCATTCAAAAAAGGACGGGGTTAAGCATAGTTTCGTATAGACTTATTTCAACTTCACTGCTACCCAGCCATATTTATCTGGGTTCTATCAAAGTGTAGGGAGGTGGAGGAGGTTTCGCGTGTTTTCTTAATTGGTATCTTTATACAGGTACAATAGATGCCCACCCCTCAACCTTTCCAGATGGACCACAACCATGGCCAGTGTCTTTTCATTTGCTGCTTGCATTCCGTTGGAACACGGGACTGGGGTAGTTGCCAAAGATAGACGTCATTCTCAACCTTTCTATTTTGGGATCTTCACAGATCCCCCCCTCCGCAGCACATGTCCCTTTTCTGTCGCGTTAAGTTTTAGCGCACAGTAAAAGAAATCGGTTTTGTTATCTTGTGGGATCGGATTCGCTTTCCGAATTTCCTGTATACATAAAGATTAAATAAGGGGGCAGAATTTGAATTGTTGGTGTACAGGGGAGTTAAGGAAGGCCTACTGACATGACCCAGAGGCCATACTGCCGGGCAGAAGTATAATGACCACGTTCTTCAGTGTTCGTTTAATCACCATGAGGAGTCAAAGAGACAGGCGAGGTATCACACTTCTATCTTTAGTATTCGGTTAAGCCTTGTTAATTTGCTATTTCGAAACTGCATCTAGCGCCTCCATAACCGGAAGGTTAGAAAGTTGTTCTACTTACTATTTATTTAACACATAAATAACCAGATTTGATAACATCAAGTAAACAACGATTGTTTTTCAATGAAAATTTTACAAAAGCTCTGCTTTAATTATTTATTCCAAATCCTGTTAGTGAATGGAAAAGTGGGTGTATGCGTCCACTGGTGTAAGCGACTTCAACTGAATGAGTGAGTGGATGAATGGGGATACGCCAACCTCTCTTTCTCCACTTTCTGAGAAGAGAGGACAAAAAAATGGAGTGTACTTGTATTTCGATTGATTCAGCCATCCCACAGACTGTGTTTACCGGACGAAGGGGAAGAAGCGTCTTATCGTCGTTTTATCATTCAGCCCACCCACTCTGTTAAGAGTCAAAAGTGAATTTCCCCCAATCCCCGAATAGTGGAAGAGGGAGAAATGAATTATTGGTTCATCCAAGTCGCCTCCATTACTCAATGATTTTGTGCATTCCTTTGTACGCTTTTAGTTTTTTGTCAATCATTTTTTTAAAAAAGGAGGAGTTGTTTCGAAAAACCCCCTTACTAGGAGGCAATTTTCCATCAAAAATGAACACACAATATGGTAAGTTTTGTGTTGTGGAGAAATGGAGAAATGAATTTTGGGTCTAGTTAGTCGTAAGGGCACATAGATTGAGGGTTTTTAAAGCTGTGAAATGGTGCTGAAGCCTAAACATTGGCGTTTGTTATGGCATGCAAGGCCTTAAAATAATCAGCGTAATGGTTCCGTGATAATGCCCTTGGAGAGATCCCTTTTGACGATAAAAACGCAATTTATCGCCCCCTTACTCCTGTACCCATCACCTAGTCCGGCGATAATGAAACGTTTGCCCCATTTTTGAGTGAAGTATTCCCCAAACATGGCGTACTTGCAAAAATATTTTTTCCACCTACCGTGACACCGTGAATCACAGTCCGAATGACATCTGAGGGTGATACCCGTCAACTTGGCTTTGACTTTCGACTTTGTAGGGGAAAAGTGTAATTTAGAGGTGTGAGAAATAAGCATTCGAATGATTCGCACCCTGCTTAGATCGACGTGCCCAACTGTTCCTCCCGGTGTCAGTGTGGATTAGACTACCAGAATGCCGAGAAAGCAGAGATTCTTTTGCAAATCCATTTGGTACCGTCTTCGTTGGATGCAGAGTCTAAATCATACTAAAATGTCATAGATCTGTGTGCCTTAACGTCCTCAAAATTTAAATTGTTTTTTGCTAGCAGTGATTTTGGAATGCTTTAATTGCTTTCTTAACCCTTGGTTCTGGTAACGGAGCACATAGGGCTCCGTCATTGTACCTTTAGATTCCGCAGAATTGCCGAGAGATCATTGACGTTGCAGTCAGATAGCGTCTCATTTGTACAAAAAATTTGCTGACTGGAACGGTTGGTTGAAGGGTGTTTTCCTTACACCATCGGCCACATTGTGATGGCGCAAGGGGGAGGTTGACCGGGGAGCGTCGAGGACGCCGCTCAAACGAGGAAAGGGGAGCCTTATTATGTTGTACTTTGATTATTCTTTCAACGCTTCATTTCAGTTCCAAGAGCACTGGGGTCTCCGCGATTGTACTTCCGCTGGAAGGCCTAGCCTCCAGGTCATCGTGGCAGCTTCCAGGCCCTTTTTTGGGTCGACAGTACCTATTCTGTCAGAGTATTGTGTCACCTTTCGTCATCGGAGAAGTCACGGGAGCTGAAGTTAAGGCAAAAATTAACTGGGATGGCATTCAATGCAGAATAACGCCAGGATATTCCATTCATCCAATGCGAAGTATATTTGCATTTACTGTTACCAATAAAAAAGACATTTTGAGTTCAGTCAATGGTCTAAATATCTTCTGAATATCGTGTATTTAGCATATCTCTATCATTGCGATCAAACTAACTTATACCATCTTAAAATGTAATAATTAAATTGATGCAAAATGTTGCATCTTATCAGCTTTTGTACAGAAATACAAGTCTATGATGAATAAACATGGTTGTTGAAATCCCCAAAGTTGTGCCTAACAAATTACTTAGTTGGCCGTGTCCAAGTTGGAGCCATGCAGCAGTGGGGTAGCCACCGTGTGACTACCTGTCGACAACAGTTGTTCAAGTGCCCGAAAAGTATTACTACAACGCCTTGGGTGAATAATTTTTTACGGTTACAAGACTTGTTTTCCTCAATCGGAACGCACAAATCCTCACCACTCTAGCAATGATTTGCTTCTGATTTAGCACCACGGCACTGTAGAGCGAAAATAGGCACAAATTACTTATTTTGGCTACTTAATCTTGTCGTAGATGAGGCAAATTAAATAATTCCAAGCCTCCTAAGAATTTCTTTTACTAAAGCCGATGTAAAAAGGCTGAGGAACTGCTAAAATTACCCGAAGAGCTCTGAAACCGAACCGAAGAGTTGTCAAATTATCAGATCATTAAATAGTCCCCCGACCCTCTCCCTCTGAGCGTTGTATCTGGTGCTTCCCTTGGTCAACCTCCCACGTCAGCCATCACCGCGTAGTTAGTGCAACAAGGAAAAGCACCGGCGGCGAAGATATATGATTGCAACGTCGCTGATCCCTCTTGGCCATTTTACCGGATCTGGAGTTTTGTACTGTTTGGAAATTCTACCGGAAGAAGGGAAAATGCGCCGGCCATCACCCATGTGCAACGTTGGTAGTATGAACATTTAATGAGGAATTGAATTTAAATAGTTTCGTAAAAGTAGGTCTTTGCATCTGTTTCCCCTAGCCGCGATGTCTTCACTTCGGTGCAGCCCAGGCACATACCTGTCTCGGTTCTATTTACCTGGTGGAGAGGTGGAGGAGGTATCGTCTGTTGACTTCATTGACATCTTTAGACAGGTGCCGTAGACAGCTTCTTTCCGAACTTTTCCAAGTGGTTCACAGACACAACTAGTGCCGCTTCAGTTGTTAATAGCATTCCTGTAGAATACAGAACT